GGGGCCAAGAAAAAGCAATGACTATGAGTAATCTATGAAAATCAGCTGTCAGTTTTGTTCTGTGGTGTCACAGCAAATTTAATTGGCCATAATTTGAATCGTCAATCTGGTTAATATTTATCTCGTTTAAAAAAAATAATTGCCAACATTTCAAATCCTTCGTAAATGAGCTGTATTTTCTGAAAATGCACAGGTTTTGGTATTTACTTGCTTGATTTGCACGTACTCTAGCATTTTCTCACACAATACGGTGAAATTATACCATTTCTCCTGCCACCGCAGGCTATTTGTAAGCGACAATTGGAGGGTTGATAATGAAATTCCTTTTATGCAAAGTAGGCATGTCTTTTTAGTTGCAAGATTTATAAGATTAGCTACTTCCTTCTTCAATGCCAGATCTGAAACAGGGGGTCAGTGACCAACGGTTCGCCACTCATTAGTCTGCTTGGATGTGAAGTTCTCTCTGGAAGTTATTCTGCCTATTTTGGCTTTCTGTTTTTCATGAGAGAGCAAAGCATTCAAAAGATAAGATACCAACAACGACACATTCACTAACAAAGCAAAAAGTTGTTTGAGCAAGACACTATCTGGCCTTCACCAAGGAAATACCGTGGTCCTAATTTTAGGAAATCTGATCTGACATACCTCTCAAAAAAAATATGTGACTGCTGTTTTTCCTCCAAATCTATTCCTACTCTTTTCTTCATGGACCCTTTTCTTTTCATTGTGTCCTGCCCTTATGTCAACACAACCTGAGCGTTTTCTCCAGCCAATTGTCCTGACATAATGAGTCATTTCTTGCAAACAATGAATGGAGTCATCCATCGAAAAACATGGGGTCAAATTTGTAGATTTTCAACTGAAGCCATTTTATTTTCTTCAAGTTTAACATGGCTTTTATCAGTTCATACTTATGAATTGCACAAAAACTTAACATAAAAATTTGACATATCCATGTCCAGGCGGCTAAAATCTGTGAGGTAGCTAATTTTGTCAGCATGTCTCTCATTTATTACTCTGTCCCTCCTTTTAGTGAAACTTTTCTTCTCAGCATATCAAAATTATCCTTGAATTTTTTTTTTCTCTTTTTACTTTGAGTCGAGAACAATTTTGCTGTTTTTGAAAAAGGCTCAATTGAAATTTTTGTAATTCATCTACAGATAATTTATTGCAGCAGAATAGTACCTACAGCCAAGTCCTATAGTATAGAAAAAAAAATGTAGGCCATATATCGAGAACGTAGCCATGAGGTATATTGTACCAAATAAAGAAAGCTAAAAAAGTAAATCTATTCATTGAACCGAGGAATGTTACACAGATGATCAACTGTTTATGGCAGGGTTCTCAAAACTTAACTGCCTGGGGGGGGGGGGGGAACGATTCAAATTACACTTTAAGTTGCAGGCTGTACTGGATAAACACTCATTGAGCAGTTGAAAACTAAACCTTTTTGTAAAATACAATGATAAGAATTAAAACTGACAAAAGTTACAATAGTAACAAATTCAGGCTTATCTTTTTTTCACTCTTATGCTCATTAGTTAGAACTGGAAGTTTTGCATCAGTTATCGGCAAAAATTTCAAGTAAAGTTTTGGGTTACGAGGACTCCCAGGACGGTCTGTCTAAAATGATCTTGCAGGCTGGGTATAAAATTGTTCTTTGGCCCGTAGACCTCGAGTCTGACACCCGAGGTTTGCGACATCGCTGTCACACACTCACCAATTTTCTCCATGTCCATGTGGTCTGACAGAAAGCTGAACCGGTTCCTCTCGTTTGGCACCTCTTCCGAGTGTGAATTCCTTGGCATATCCGGACTCTTGCGCCGATCTCTTCGGCACACGCCATTGTTGGACTGGAACCAGGAAACAAAAAACATCACCACATGTTCCAAAAAGGAACGCATTCTACTTTCTATAACTTCTACATAGTAATCTAACATCATTTCAGTTTTTGAAAGGTCTTATGTATTCATCAAACCCATTTTCTGTATAAGCAACCTCTAACAGAATAGTCCATGATGGGAACGGGTGTTTTAAAACAAAAATACAAACCAACACCAACACCCCCCCCCCACCCACCCAAAACAACAACTTCCCATATTAGTTTTGATAGTAATACAAACTGGGCAAAACTTTATATCCCCCCCCCCCCCCCCACCTAAATTTGACAATATAGACTTTAAATAGGGCAATCTTACATAATTTTTTCTCCCTAGATCTTGGAATACACACACACCAAAAAGCAAACAGGAAAAAAACCCCTACAAAAAACAAAAGAGAGAGATCCCCCCAATTATTTTCTAGGAAACATCTCTCTACAAGATCATAAACAAATCTTCAGAAAGTGTGAAGGACAAAACTACGATCACTGACCCGTCCACTTGAACGCTTGCCCGTTCCGCTTCGAGGCTCTCTGTGACTTTTGCTGTGTGTCTGCTGACTGCTCTCCGCAGCTGCTGCCTGATTGGTCAGCTTGCTGGTGTCTCGTAGATCATTGTTGATGTAGTCGTGCTGCCGGGCCGAACTGGATAACTTGGAGGAGCTGTTGCTAGCCGTGGGTTTGCCGTTGTTCAGCACCATGTCACCTTGAGAGGAGGAGGCTGCAGAGCTCGTGTCCTCAAGGACGTTTGCAGCGTGACCTTTGTTTTTGCTGGCCGCTTGTTGTCCTTGCTGAGACTGAGCCCTCGACTTGTTGGTGTTCTTCGTCTGAAAGATTCTGCGTGGATCGAAGAACAGCGATTCACCACTACTGGCTGGTTGAGATGTGCTATTTTTGGTGTCAGAACATTTTGCGGCAGTAGGAGAGGGCAACGTCTGGTGTTCCCCATCCTCCCGAGTCACCGAGGACAATGTAGTTCCCAGGGAAATGTCCTCTAGAACGCCGGCTGAGCTGCCAGCACTACTCCCGCTGCTGCGACGAATCTTGCCAGCGGGGGACAGATTCTCCGAGCTACTGCCGGGGCTGAGCACGTGATCGTCAAAGCTGTCAAGACCGTAACGCGAGGTGGGCGACGTGCGGTGCTGATCAGCATCCCCGCCGAGTGAACCCCTGGGCCAATACTTTGAGCCCGAGGACGTCCTTTTTATATGGGGCCGAAAAGGTTTCCCCTCCTTCTTGGCTGGAGGCTTCTTCCCCTGCGGCTTTGAACCGCTCTCAGACAGCTTGTTTTCCAAATCGTAAAACCCGAGCCCGGTGGTCTTCACCGACGCAGAAGCTCCAGTTTTTGGAGTCTTGGCGATGTCGGAGTAGGAAGGTTTTGTCGTTTCTGCACTCTGTGATTCCGGCTTGGTACCCACTGGAGACGCCGGGCTCGACGAATCTCTCTGGTGTCCGTGTCCAGAAGAGTTCCACTGGCTCATGGCCGCCTCGTAAATCTCCCTGCCCTCATCACTGGCCACGTGTTTGCTGGTGTTGTTAGCGTAGTGGCGACTCCCTGGCTCTATGTTGGTGCCCAGGTCAATGTTGATGCCCGACGTGCCTTGAAGATGGGAGTACTCCCGCCCATTAGGAGGCTGGCTGCTCAAACGATGAGGCTCCATTACTGAACTCTCCGACACTGAGCTTTGCACAGGGAACAAAGGGGGCGGGGGCATGCGAGGGTCAAACCGCAACCTCGAAGGGAGCACGTGAGGCACGGAGCTGTCGTGAGGCAGCGGAGACTGGTGCATGCCTCTGTTGCTGGCCATTGACGTCTCCTCTGGGAGATAACTTTCTGCTGACAGTTGAGCAGAAAACGTATGACCAAAGTTGGAAGCTCTGGGCTGGACGTCACTGAGTGACCTCTCTAACGGATGGGACATGGCCGAGGCAAAAGACCTCGGCGTGGGGCTGCCACCACCACTCATGCCCGGGCTGCCCATAAAGTCGTCCCCACGAAAGACACTGGGGTCTGGGGCATGAAAACCCTGACCTAAATATGCCTGTCTCTGAACATCGCTGTTCATAGCCGCCATCCGGGACTGATCCACATCCACAAAACGACCGCTGAGATCCCCGCTAACTTGATACCTTGGGGTTACCTCTTCCCCTTTCCACTCAAACTGCCGGTGCTGCTGGATGAACTCATTCATACCTCCGAGGCGAGGCGACTGGGGGCTCAGAGATGGGGGCGGCACATGCACACCCGTCCCATCGTGATGCGACACGGGGGGTGGCGGTGACATTGACTGGTAATCTGGCAAGGTCATCGGGTTCCACGTGTACAGGCTCCGGACCCCCGCATTGTGTTGAGGAGAAATACCGCTGAACTGCGTCCACTGGCTCCCATCGTCCGCACCCAAGAGAGGTTGAACCCCTACAGAGACGGGCGACGAGGGGGCTGCAGCAAGCTCCGAGAGCTGCCGAGAAATCTTACCCAATGGGTCTTCACCGTCATCCATCTTTGTACTCAACAAGCCATCTGAAATGAGCAAACACGGGGATCTTGAGTTTGAGTGAACAGAACCATGTCAAAACAATTACTACAATTTAGCTTGGCAGAAAAACAAGAAAAACTGAAACAACAAGGGAAAAACAAAATAAGATTAACTAGTGGTGCCCTCCAAGTCCAGATACCCCCACATTTACATAAAGATCTACTGTGCAGTGGTTTATGGTAAAACCTTAAATAACAGCCGCATTTCACCAGGAACAGAATAAGACAATCATATGGAGGAAGTGAAAATAAGGAACACTAATTCTAATAAAGTATGAACAGCAACACCAAAACGTGTCCACTCTTCATATGAGAATGGACAGAAATGGCATTCATATTCAGTCATGAAAGTTTATCCTATAGGCCTATTTATATACTTATTGGCATAAAAGTTGTGAGGAGCTGTTGTAAAAACACTAAATATTAGGTTAGGCCTACACTTTTTACAACATCCACAGTGTATAATAGCAAATTCTTATCTAACAATTATTAGAAAAGCAACTTGAGTACTTAAACACTGTTTTACCCAGAAAAAGGGGCCATTTTACTCCCAACAAAACGGGAACTAGATCTAGATTAGACCTAGTAAAACTAACTTTGATACAGATTTAGGCCTACTTGTGCCCCACCATGCCATAAACATGTCATACGTTCTGCCTGAGGGTGCAGACTTTATGAAAAACCCAATAGTGAAACCAGAGAGGATTTACAGTAACAGAGAGCTGTCACTCCTGGCGTCGCACCATAACAACAGTGCATTGTATTTTTTCATGTATCGCCTGGCACGAAAACCTTTAAGCGCAGTAATCGCTGCCACGGCGATGCTCAGGGATGCTGTAATGTCATGAAAAAATGTACCACAGGTAGTTCACTAGGCCTTTAACAAAAAAGGAGTTCTGTGAATTCTATCACATATTTTTGGCAACTCCCTTGCTTCCCTCGGCCGTAAACTGTTAGACTTCTTTTTAACCTAAGTTATATTCTAATACACTAACAGAAGCACACATTACTTCGTCTCTATAAGATCCGAAAAATATCACTGTAATTAAAGGCATATATTTGGTTTAATTTTCAGCAAAGCTACTCGTTCTCCAGTGTCTCTCTGTCCTCTCTCCATCTCCCCCTTCTCTTGCTCTATCTATCTATCTGTCTGTCAGTCCTTTCTCTCGCCCTGTCTCTCTTTCTCCCCCCTCTCTTGCTCGGTCTGTCTCTCTCATCCCCCCTCTCTTGCTCTGACCATCTGGCCCCCCTCCCCTCTTTTTTTTTTTAGTAGTAGAGGTTTGTTTTGTTTTACTAAATGTTTCACGGCGCTCGCAACTGCACAAGGTCCAATGACCGCCAATAGTAGAGGTTTTACAGCGCTCGCAACTGCATAAGGTCATGAGTGCCAGAAGAATAGAGGTGTTACAAGAGAGTTAACAAACATAAAAAAGAAGGAGGAGAGATAAGGACGATAGATGTTTCATAGGAAAGAAGAAGCAAACAACACCAGAACACCCGCCAACCACCCACTCTCTCTCACACACACACCCTGTATATAGACAACTTTTTGCAGGCAACATATCTTTCACCAGTAGAATGCAAGTTCTATTTAAGCATTTAGGCTGGAATTGACAGCTGATATAAGTCGCAGTGTTCTAAGTTTGTGCATGTCAGTCTGGAAGAACCACAACCGCATTGTCATTGTTTTCCTATTTTTTTTTCTAATCGTCAAAATATATTCTTACATTTATTTTTCCTACCATGAGCTCACAGATGGGGCCTCGCTGGACAGAGAGCCAATGCGGCTCGAGTGGCTTGCTATCTATTCCAATCCAGTAATGAAAAGTAAGACACGAAATTCTCGGCTGATCCATGTTTTCAACATATTTGAATACACTTCCTGTTCACAGATATGATAGAAAATATAGCACTGACAGATGATTTCGAATAATTTCAGCACTTTTTTCTGTCCCCTTCCAAACGTAAAAATGAAAAGAAAAGTATTCCCCTGACTTCAGTTATGTTTCATATTTTCACTTTTATAATAGGTACACATGGGCCTACATAACTTTCAGCATTTCTTTGCATTACTTGAGGCAACCGACCTGGGAAGTTTGAATGATTCTGTTGTACTTTTTTAGCTATGACCTTTCAAAGCTGAAAAATTGTTGATTTCATATGACACTTTCGACATTGCACTGTCACTTTAAAAAACCCCTAACAAATATAATTGGAGTAAATCTTCAATATTGTACCACCATCTGAAAGATTTTCTTTTTATCCTCAGTTTGATGGGCCATATGATATGGTTTGTGTGAGTTTAGTTGGACGTTTTGACATTTTCCTTTGGTGGGGTAGGGGTGTAAAAATAGGTCAGGGAAAAGCCCTGGGTCAGTGGTGGATGTTGGCCTGGTGGTACGAAAAGATTTAAGTAGGCAATTTACCTTTCGTCATCCTTTGGGAATCGAAAGAAACTGGTTTGGATTTTTTTTTTCTGGGTGCAGTATAGCAGAACACAATTAACATTTCGTGCTATCTGGAGCCATGCTTGTCAGTTATCAATGAAAATGCCTTGAACAATAGACGCAGTTTGTTTTGTTTACCGTGCTTTTCCCCGCAATCAGCTGGTGACCCAGATACACGCATCGGGGCGAAGTGACAGTTCTCTTACTAAACTTACTTGTATTACTGTAAAACTCAGGTGAAAATACATCTGCACAGGCTCATTGAGCTAATTAACCTAATGTGACTAGAATCTACCTACATTACATTAGTCAGTCTGACTACAATTTAAGACTTAAACTCTCATCTGAGAGTGAGAGTGATAGTAGGCCTACCAACTGAAGTTGAAGAAGGTTCAAGACAGCTCAATTCATGTTTTATCTCTCCGTCTGACCAGAAATTGATAGCGGAACTTCTGTGTCATGACTGAAATATGAATGGTGGCAATCTGTATCAAGACGGCAGATTTTCACCAATGTAATCTTGGACATTGGGGCCCGTAGAATCTAGATCTAGATTCTAGTACTTTCCACGAGCCCATCCGAACATCGTTGACAAACACATGTGAGATCAAAGACCTTCCTGTGTCTGATCATGCTTGATGCATCATGTTTCTTCCCGCAAACAGCATATTATTGTTGTGCATGTTTCGCGGTCAGATACATTCTTGTATTTATGTACTGATGCTAGTCATTGAAACGCCAATAGTTTCACGGAATCGAAGGGTACTGAAAAGTGTGGAACAATTGCTAATAAAGACTACAGACAAATAAGGACACATACCTCTTCCTCTGCTAGAACGATGATCTTCCTTATCGTGTGTATTTCTTGGTAGCAATGCAACTCGAAAGTCTCGCTGCTTGGTTTCAATTACGAGATTTCAAGATAACATAGATCTTTTTAATTATTGGATTGGAATCAGGAAAAGTAAAATTCAAATATTAATACATTTTTGTTTTTCCTTTAAGTTTTTTTTGGGGAAGAATATGGCTATTTATCCATAAATTATATCATGAAGTCATTACCATAATAGGCTTATAATTTATATCAGCAGTACTGTGAAAACAGAAGCTCCAGACAGACAAATAATAATTATTATAGATTATTTTGCCCAAGGCAAGGCCTATTTTACTTTGTTTCAGTTTCAGCTTCCGCAACACGAGCTGATTGTTTCGCCCTTGAAAATTTTTTTCTTCCTATTAGAAAAGATTGTGCTCCTTCTGTATCTCTACAAGCTCAAAAAATAATAATTCAATATGAATATATTGTTGAACTTGAGAAATTTAGACTGTCGTATTAATTAATACATTAAAAATCTTTTGTAAACAATGATTCCCCCCGACCTATGACCGCTATGACGACAGAACGTGCTTTTCTACTTTTCAGTCATCATTTCTGGGAAGAGCGTGTAAGCGTAAACATCAACACTCGAAACCTGTCCTCTGCTGTTAGAGATAGTGAAAGTAGAACCCACGAGTTCGTTCGTCCTGCTGCCAGTTATGACTTCACAAAGTCACCAGATTGGACGAATTCTTTCGTCTCTCAGCACTATTTATACACCTGTTGGGTTCGAAATTTATCCTTTCAAAGTAAGTAATTCTAGAATCTAGATCTAGCATCTAGTCCACCAAGCCTTGGACTTGGAAGAGTCGAAGTCGAAGTGACAATTTCAACAAAGTAAGGCAAATAAAAAGTGGTGACTGTTCACCGTTGTCAACCATAAACAATGTCAACATTGTATTGTTTGAGTTGGTATTTAGATCTAGATCTAGTCTAGATCTAAATATTGGGTGATCTTGTAGTTCCATTCGTTAAAGTCCACGATCCATTTGTTTACATCCAGAGAAGAAATCCGGAAGTCTTGGATGACCAAATAGCCTAGGCAACACAGGGATGCAACCTAACTCTAACTGCAAAGCAAGTGGCTATTCTCCGGCGTCGCGCTAGTCAATAGATCGAAAGCTATTCTCCGGCATCACGCTGCCAGTCTATTCTATTACAAATAAATTATTTGTCGGCGCAAATACCTCTCTTATCTGTTTGTCTTGGGAAAAAATTCCCCTAACTTCACCACTTCGTGCCACTTCCATTGATACAGACGATAGGTTTTCAGATACAAACTGCCTCACAAAGAGTGAGCATAGAAAGAAGAAGTTACATTTTCACGGTTTACAAAAATGGAGATACGACAAGAAAGCACTTAAGTCGCAAAATATCAGTTAAATTTATCTAAAATTATAATAACAAGAGATAAGTTAAAGAGCAAGCTATACATGTACTATATGACTAGACAGGATTTTAGACTCAAAATCAATTTTGTTCGTTTAAAGAAACAGTTTAATCATTATTTTAACTCACTTGCGACTGGGCCCTTTCACCAGTCACAAGCGTTGAAGACTGGCGTTTTTGGGGGTATTTCAATAAATCACCACAACTCTCATAATTACCCTATTGTAATCATTTTTTGACACAGTAAAGTAACATTCAAGCTTAAACTAATACAAAAAACTAAAGTTGTCTAAGTCTAATACTTTAATTTGTATGATTTTTTTAAAATTGGCATGAATTTGATTTTCCGAAAAAAGTAGAATGAAATTCACTACAACAACAAAAATAAAAGTTCAAAGTGTTCTAGTTTGATTTGTATACATGTGCGAGTGTTTGGTGAAAATATAAAAGCTGGTCTGTGCATTGATTCAGACCCATACACTGAATTACATGAGACAGATGTACAGCACGACGTTGTGATTTCGTTGCGCGAAAAACAACACCGGTACTAGTGCTAGATCTAGCCCTAGAACTACGACTCGGGCCGTGTTCGGGTACATATCCAGGATCCTAACTATTAGACACATCATATTATGAGACACTAGAACTAGTAAAACGCACAGAAGTATAGAAAACGGCAAAATTATGTGATTCTTGTTCATGCGACTTCTTCGACCGTTACTACGACGCGACTGTCGGATTACTATCAGCTGTAGAGAAAAAAACAAAGCGCGAGTTCCGGTCTGTTCAACCCCAGTTGGGGTCACTGTCCTTCACCTTCAATAACTTAAAAACTACCGGCCCTAGAGATACGAAACCAAGTCTAAGTAGTTCAGGCTTGGCCAAACAAGGGTACGAGGCGGGTCTCGCGATCCGTGCGTGATTTGTAGAGCGAAAAAAAATTTCCTAAATTGGTCACGCAGGGCTTGTGAGACCCGTCGCGAGCGTCGCGGCGGGGGTCACGCAACTGTTGTGTGACCCGTGTGAAGTGAGTTAAAATATAAGCAAATTGACGACCCAAATAAATGAATAAAGTTACGTTGAACAATTATCCTAGATATAATGTAATGAAAGGTAGGCTTACTAGGCCTAGAGATCTAGTTGTTGTATCTCAAAATCGGCGCCGACAAATACATTGTAATTCATAAGTAATAGACCGGTGGCGTGACGCCGGAGGATAGCTTCCGATCTATTGACCGGCGCGACGCCAGAGAATAGCGACTTGCAACTGCAAAACATCAAATTATGGAACCCCCTCTCAATATTTTTATTAGGTCTGAAACCCCCCTACTCTTGACTCTTGGGGCCCAAACAGGCGAATAATAATTGGGGGTGGGAACTCCCGAAAAAGCGCCATTCTTTGCTTGAATTTTGATTTTCTGGCAATTCAGGGTCTCTGGCGTTCAGCTTTGGACTTAAATGAACGAAGCTATAAAATCACCAAATATTAATGCGCTGAACACGAATATTACCTTCATTTCCGTCGCAAATTAATAGTTTTGGAAATATCTGATTGTTCTTATTTAATAGAGATAGACGTGCTTTGGACGAATCGGGGCGTTCCAGGGGGGCCTGCTCCCCCCGCGGTAAAAAACCCCGAAGTGGCTCTGAGTCTCAATAGCCTCCCCTGGCTATTCAGACTCAAACTCAAATGCGCATTACTTTGAATGACTGACTTTTGTTCCCTTTGAAAGGGCCAAGGGTTTGACTTTTCTCTTCTTAATTTCTGACTGGACTTACAATTTATTCATAATTTTGTCTTTCTAATTTTGTACTTTTAAGGACAGTCAGACTGGCAGGCTAGCTGTACTTCATTAATGTTGGCTGAATTGTAAATAAAATTTTAGTTTGCAGTCCTAAACTATTTGTATTTCAGATGAAACCAAAAAAGGCCTTACTGACATGTATGTATTTTAAAACTAAATAATTACTAGATCCAATGAAACCTGTGTACTCAACTGGTTTCGGTCAATTTGAAAAGGGCCTGACCTAAGTACGGCTAGACTGGCAGTACGGCTAGCCAAGTTTCGTTTTTATATATATATATACAGATAAAATAAAAGCCTATAGCCTACTGCATTATATAATAATTATATATCTTTTCCAAATTTTCTTTCAGCCCATTAATTTAAGGCCGGCACTATTTCTCCGAACGTTCGGGAAAATAAAGCTGGGCACTATTTCTCCGAACACTCTGAAATATCATCCTTTCCCGCAAATTTCGGATATTATATAGATCTATAATTATAGTATGGGCCTACCAAAGATTGTTCGTATACAATATGGTTCAATCGGTCCAAAAAATGTCCGCCGTAAATATTTATATAAAAAAATGCTACAATTCCAAACAGTTTTTCGCTATAGATATGACGTGTTGCCTATGAAGGGTGCTGCTCTTAAACGTAATGTGTTGTGTTCACTCGTGTGCTGTCTAGATCTAGATCTACGGAGGGTTAAACGACACATAGAACTGGCATCTGCGTTTGTCACTGCTGCGACCAATGTACTGACACTGGCAAGCCCCTTAATGTGTGTGATTCCATAATTTACATGTAATATCCTGTACTTTTTTAAAAATTATGCACATTTAAGGTTAAAACTGCCAATCTTTTTCGGACAGGTGGACACACGCCCTTATTTGTTAATGTTTTTTGTTGTTTATGGGCTGTTCTAATTTTTATTTCTTTCTGTTGTGAAACCTTTCTTTTTCACGTTTTTACACTCATCTAAAAATGTCATCTAGACTAGCTGTTGAAAATTGAAATAGATATAGACCCAAAAATTTGCTCCTGTGTGTGTGTGTGTGTGTGTGTGTGTGTGTGTGTGTGTGTGTGTGTGTGTGGGTGTGTGTGTGTGTGTGTGTGTGTGTATGTATGTGCGTGTTTGAGTGTGTCTGTGTGTGGTAGTAAGTGGAGAGTGAGGAGTGTGTGTGTGTGTGTGTTTGTTTGTTTTTCGGGCTTTATTTCAGCCTTTATTCAGTAACAGTTCAAAGTATACAAAAATAGAAACACAGGATCCATTCACTCCAGGACTCATGAGTCGTTCGTCTCTTTCAGTTTCACTCTTTCATTCAATTCCCGTGTTCTCTCCCGCGGCTCATCCCCGTCCGCATGACTTTCATACCCCACCCCATCCCTCCAGGCACACACAAAGAAAATCTCACTTGTTCCCTGCGAACCATGGACAATAATATAGGCAAAACACCGCCTGTGCTGCATTCCTTTTGTTCATGAGCTGTGGACCAGGCCAGGGGTGGTCGGTGTCGTCGTCTTGTAGTTGCTGTCGCCTGTGGATACACTCGCACATTCTTCCTTTCACCCGCTTTCACTCACACTGTCTCTCCATCCACAGTTCAGCTCGTCATACGTTCAAAAGTTGCCCACTAGTTATGTTTAGTTAGTGTGTGTACATGTGCATGATGGTGGTGGGTGTGTGGTGGGTGTTACTACTGAAGGTTGTCTGTAGGCGGGCTTGCCATGCGGTACGTGTTCCTTCCCAGACCAGAGGCAGAATGAAAGTTGGCGCCGAACTCTCGCAATAAATAGGCAAAAAATCACGAGACCGGAAGCCGGAAACCGTTCGGAGAAATAAAGATCGGTACTATTTCTCCGAACGTTCGGAGAAATAGTCACTTCGTTAATTTAATTTTAGAGTAACAATACTATACTCTTCACTACCATGCTACAAACTGTGGCTGTGGGTACATTACTCTCCTTCAAATTTCATAGATGATAGATAAGCTTATTTTTTAATATCGGTTCTTGCTTTTATTGGCCATGGATTTTTAGGTAATAACAAAGATTCTTTACTACCAAGATATTCCACTTCCTCTTTGGGCTTTTTCCACGCCGTGGCGGGTTCGCTTTGCCGCATAGCACGTGATGGGCTACGTTGCTAGGCGACGTGAGGTTGGGTTCACCGCTGACTGCTTGGGGTGTGTGTGTTTGTGTGTGAGCGCATGTGTGTGTACAACTTTGTTTGGGGAGGAGAAGAGGAGATACAGAATGGTACAGGCTAAATCTATGGACCGAGAATGGCTGAGATTGTTTAATCAAAAGTAACAAAAATTAACTCACAAATAAAAACAAAATGAACGGAAAGAAAAATAAAGAAAAAGGGTAGGGTTTGGGTGGGTGGATGAGAAGCAAGAAAAGAAAACTAAACTGAGGAAAGTTATATAGAATCGGGCACAAATAACATGAACATGGAAAACTCGAAATCATGAATAGATAACTTGTACAATTTCAGATTTGCCATTCTCTGATTGATGTCTATCAATTAATAAAAGCATTTTTTAAATTTCTTGAATGATGGTGTTTGAGTTATCCTTGCCTGGCAGTACAACTAATTGGTGGCTGAGTGCGAGACTCCAACAGATGCGAAATTGAAAAATTTTGTTTTTTTTTAGACTTGCGTCCAGCCATTATAATGGCCCTCAGTGTATTAAGATCTTAAGTATACAGTGGCATCCACTTAATGGTAAATCCATCACTCTAAATCTCTCAAAACCGAAGACAAGACCAAACAGAAGAAATCTGGCGGTACCGGAGATTTTAGTTTAAGCAGATGACACTGTATACATTTTGTCTGTGTGGCATTAGATTTTGTATTTTTATTTTTAGAATTAAGCAACTTTCTCTTTGTCAATTCTAAAACATCTTGTCTAACTACTTGTGTACATTTTGCAATTTTTGTTCTTTTTATAGATAGGCTGGTACAATGAGCAGGTCGGTGAGCCATTCCGATTCGACCTTGACCCGGATACTCTGGCGTTCGTCATCATCAGCACGCCCGACATGTTTGATAAGGCACTGGTGCCGTTTATGTGCCGAGATGACTGCACTGGATCCACCGACATTCTCGACAAATGCATGATGCATTACTTCAGTCTGACCAAACAGGTAGCGTATGTGTTCTGGCCTATACTGCCCTAAGCTGACAAAACGTCTTTTTTTCATTTTTGGCTCCAAATTTTTTTTATTTGCCAAATTGTTAGCCTGATCAGTTAGCCTACTTTTGGGGAAAAAGCTGAAGTGAAACTGTGTCGAATTTTTTTATAAATTAGAATTCAAATTTTAAAAGAACACCTTTTCTTTATCGGTTACTCTGACAAAATACCTTTTTTTTCTCGAAACTACTGAAAATTTCAAAAAGGCGCTTTGCCAGCCAATGGCAGTACATTACTAACAATTTGCCCCCCCCCCCCAGTATTATACTAGCGCCTTTTCAGCACAAGGAGGCTATCACGAAAAATGATGTTTTGAGAAAATTGAAGGTTGCCCCTTTTTCAGTTTCTTTAAAAGACAAGGAGAGTTTTCTCTATAACGAAACAAATATACTCACAAATGAAACCAAACTTCTATTGGCGGGGCAATGCCCACTTTTGGTGTAGATCAAGATTTCTGGAAACCCCCGAAATCTGGGTTAGCCGGCTTGTCCTTAAAAACGACCAAATGTGAATACTACATCCATCAGTTTTTTAAGGTAAGACACTATATTTGATGCCTGATTAGTACTTGATTGCACACATGTTGAGAATCATCTCCTGCACAGGAGAAAGTCACCCTGTATTACGTGTAGGATGTAAAAATATGGGCTAATTTTGAAGTTAGTTTTTCACCTGTATTAAAGAAGAGGTTGATTTATTAGTGAATATATTCGGAAGTTCTATTCAATGTGCAGTGCCTTCAACACACAGAACGGTACTCTAGAATCCTTTCAACACGCAGATACAATGGTACTTAGGAATCCTTACAAAGGATCATTAATGCTATCACTATGGGTCAACTATGCCTGATACATACTCAGTATTCTGATTGTATCTCAATGGTATTCTGATGCATGCTCTAAGGTCATATGAATTAATTTTTTTTTCGCAATTCTACGTCTGATGCCACCAAATTTGGCAAAATTCTGCAAAAAAACAAAATTCCGCGGCTGCACCGTGGGTGAAATTCCGCGGCGTGGTTGATCCATTTTTCCGCGGCCGCGCTGTTATTACAGCGCCTGCGGAAAACTTCGATGTCAGGCAGGAATACTTATAACAAGATGATCTAATAGTGTTGATAAGGGTGTTAAACTCATTAACTTACTGCACTTTACATGATGGCACGGCGGCAGGCTAGAAAAACTGTCGACCTGTCAGTCGTAGTTTGGTGACACATGCTTTAGGGTGTGTGCAGCGTGACTTGTGTTTTGGAAAATTCTTGAACAGTGGTTTTTAATTTTATTGTTCTTACTTTATGTTTGGAGGGCTCTTGTGGCCTAGAGGTTAAGGTGTTTGCCTCTCATTCAATAGATCACGGGTTGAATCCGGAAAACGATGGTAAATTTTTTTAAAAAAAATGTTCTCTTTTCACATCCTTTCCTGCCCTCTAACGAAGTTCTGTCGTCTGCTTTTGTCTTCACTTTCTGCCCCCACCCCCTCACAGCCTTTGCCTCCTACTCTGGATTCCTGACTCTTTCTGCAGCCTTTCTACTCTTTGGCTCCTTCTTACTGCTGTCTTCCAGCCACACCCCTGATGTTCTGGTAGGAAAGATCTACACCTAGCCTTCACGGACTAGAGCGAAAAATCTCGGAGGTCCCGTGTGCAAGTTGCACACGTTAAAGATCCCATTGGTGCTCGAAAATTGATAGGAGTAGGCTTTGGCCGCCACGGGGGCAAAATTCCAAATTTCCTTCCAACTGAAAATGTTTACTGTGTCCCTCGCACTCAAATGACCTTATGCAGTTGGGAACACCGTAAAACACTTACAACCTCTCCCCCCAAAAAACCCCCACAAAAACAACTTGATGTTTGAACATTGTGTTCACTGATAAATGAGTTTCAATTTTTTTCCCCCAGGCCTTTCCCGACGATGATGTAGAGACTATTCATGACTTTGAGATGGCGGCCTCACGACGGCCCAAAATTTTGGTTCAACCTGCGGCTCATGTTTCCGGTGCGGCCTTCTATTACACACGCAGATGTGTAGATCCTGACCCGTGGGGGGAGAAAAAGGTAGTTGTTTAAGGGTGTGTGATAGAAAACAAATGGGTTGTCTTATTCACAGTTTCATCAAGCAACGCCAGCCATCTCCACAAATGCAGGGGACTGTTAACACTTTGCCCCATACGGGACGCCGATTGGCGACGGTAAGATGCCGTACTTTTCCCCCACGTGACGCCGATCAGTGATGGTGTGATATAGCATGTATCACGTCTGTATCCTGGTCTGTTGGGATAAGTGTTGTTGGGTGGAAAGTGTTAAAGTGCCTCCAAGTTGCCATGAAGTTTTTTTCTTAATGGCACTGGCTGTGACCTTGAGGCTGTTCTGGATTTGTCTTGTATTGAGTATTCCTAAAATAATTGTTTCTTTGTTCGACTTTTGTGCCTCAGAAAGGAAGCCGATCTTTCTGAGTTTATATAAGGAAATTTCTTATCTCAGATTTGTGCTTTTCGAGTCTCAGTCCTTTCTCAAATTCAAAGTGGATGAGATCTGAATGCGATTATTAACATGTTTACCGATTGCTGATAGGAGTTTATTGTTGTATAGTGCTGCCTAGTTCGGAGGGATGAAGGAAAAGTTGAAGTTCAGTTGAAGGAAAGCAAAAGTTGGGATTTGTGTCTGTGGCTAGAACTGAGTCGTCTTTTAATGATTTAGTCAAGTTTTTTTTGGCTCTTCATTTGTGTGGGGATAAATCATTGCTCAAAGTTTGCTTACGATAGAGATGCCTGTTATTTTTTGTTGTTGATTTGTATAGTATAGTGGCACTAAGTTATATTTAAAGGAGATAGAGCGCATCTTTCACAGCCTTATTGACACTATTGTCTATGGGAGTGCCACATACGGCTTTTACATAGTAATTTAAATTAATTTATATTTGATTCTTTCTCACATTCTATCCGATGGGTTTCTTTTTTTTCAGAAAATCTTTGGAGTGAGCATCCACCCTCAATACGGTGGCTGGTTTGCCATCAGGGGAGTGATAATCTTTAAGTCGGTTCAGTGTCCCGAGCTGCCGCACAAAGAGCCAGTGGACTGCGTGCCCGAACAGGAGAAAAGAAGAGAGCTCTTGGAGCTGTTCAACTACCACTGGCGTGACTGGCGGTTCCGCGACATCATAGAACCCCACAAGAGGTACTCCGAGGATCAAAGACTCTACTTCGAGACCATGCCCAAAGACAGAAGTCCCCTTGTTCGGCAGCTCAAAGGAAAATTTCTCAAGCAAGCCGAGAATAAAGAAATCAGCACGGATTTGGCAGGTGTTGGTGGAGAATTGGCTACTCAGTGATGTGTTTTGTCATTGATATCATCCCCTCTCAGGAATTTCATCACTTTTTATTTGCTTATATACAGTGCCTTAGGTTTAAGCAGAATCTTGCTTATGCTTGTCAACCTTGTCTCTCAAAAAGTTTGTCATTGAGTCAGTTTTTGGTACAACAAATTTTGATGAACAGTTTAGCACAGATGTCTCTTACTTGTTTGGCATGGTTTTGTCTGGTTTTATTATGTGATATTTTTAGCAACATAAAACCCACGTCTATGGTGTAGCGGTTAAGTACTTTCCTGTCGCATGCAGGAGACCCAAGCTCAATTCCCCAGTTGGGAGAAATTATCTAGTGTATCAGTCTGTCTGTTGGGATGTTGTATCCCTCTCAGCCCAGGTTGGCCCTGACAGGCAGAGTCGAGAGCCCGCCTCCTAAATGATATAAATTGTGTCGATGGGGGGGGGGGGGGGGGGGATGCGTCAAAACACCCCTCTTGGATAATACAGTATTATCTTTTCTTATCTTATTTTTAAAAAGCCCATGAAAATTGAACTTGAAGTTTGTGCAGACAAGGGAAATACTTGCTAGTGGGGGAGATGAGGCAGGCATGTAGGCACAGAAGAAATTTTTTTTTTTTTTTTCCTGTTTAGTCCCTTTGCCCACAACAACAGCATGTCTTTCCCCGTGCCCAATAAGATTATTGTTCTTTCAGGAGACCTGATCAAAAGAGATAGTCCTCGTGTCCACCAAACCAGAAACCAGCTGACCAAATGTCATCTGTCTTTTGGGAAGTCGGTAGTTAAAACAGAGCACAGGTTTTTAACTTTTTAAACCCCTTTGGACGGCGGTAATAACCCTGTTCCCCATCGGACACTGGGAGTGTCGGATACTAGTGACAACTGTTTCGTTTCATTTAGGGCTAGTTTTTTCTTGTTTTTCGAAACTATTCCTGGTCCAAGTTTTTTTAGTAATGACGAAGCCTTTGTTTCCACCATTTAGAAGTTGGAGGCAAGCTTTTCGGGTTATAATGAGACATGGTGCACCAGGTTTAGGTAACTGTAGAAAAAACTCCGGGAAATGGTGGAAAAAACTGGGGGTTTAAAGGGTTAAGCGAACAGTCTGGTTTGATATTCCCTCCTTGTGTTCCTTAAGCTTTGACCTGTTCATGCATGCTGGAAACAGAACAGGCCGAATTGCCTCCCCCAGACAATAAAATCTGGTCATTTCTGCTTTGATGGACAGGTAGCCTTACTTGCCATGTCTTCACCCAACCTGACCAATAAACTTTGAGGTAGACCGAGGGTTGTTCTTGAATCCATTAGCCTTGGGGCGTGTGCCTGACATCATTTCTTAGCAGAGGAATTGATTCGTCATAATTTTATATCCATATACTGATAATTGCCGAACTGATATCTCTTCTTGTGGATTCCAAACTTTTGATGTACAGGTGTTCGAGTTTCATGAAAATGATTGATTTCATTTACATAGCATATATATCCGTGCACGAAATGTATACGTTTTACTTTTTATTTTGCGTGCTTGGCTACATATATTTATTAATATGATTTTACTCAGATTCCAGTCTTACTTGGAGGTTTTATTTATAGACGACTTTTCTGTGTTGTGTTTACACGTGTTGCTGTCATGTTTCTCTACTCTTGCCTCGGATAATTTTAATGCTTATGTCTGTTATTATATTACAGGAAAAAGACGATGAGCTTTTTTACATTGTTTCTGTAACTGTTGATGTTGACTGCCAGAAATCTGTATCGTAATGCCTTAATCTGTACTTTTTTTTCCTCTCCCTTTGTTTTTTCTGTCTATTTTCTTTTTTATTGGTAACTTGCACAAAGATATCTGGGACGTTGTCCTTGTTTTTATCTTAATCTCAAACTTTCCTGCAGTCTTTTCCTCACTTAGAGAGATTGACGGAGAGACAAATCATGTGATAAGTTAAAGCGAGGCTTGTGCGACTCAAGATGAAACTAAATGTGATGCAGAAAAATGGGTTTTAAATGCTGATGTTGATATATGGAACTTTTGCAGGGTATGGAAAGAAATATTTGTCTTCGATAGAAAGAGCAGAAATTAATATTTCGATATATATACTCGTTGAAATGTTATTTGTTTGTACACTTTTGCCCCTTCATTTCTAGTCGCTTTATCACATTTCGTTTTGTTATCACACATTTCTCTCCCTCATTGGATATTGTGATGTCGTCTGCTCCAAACTGTTCGTGTTGACTGAGCGCTAATGGCTCAGGAAAAAGTACATCTAGAAATATTTAGTTGAAATTATCCAATATGTCACCTGTTGTCAAGGACAAATGCTGTTGTCGTAGACTAGTGGACATTTTGGACAGTGTCATTATAATGTTTAGAAAAAAAATGCAAGGGGAGAAGTGGGATGTGGTGGTTTGGGACAGGTGATTGTCTTGGACAGGTGGCTTTTGGAGCAGGTTCGACTTTATATTGTGCGATGTGACTTCTTTACAAGAATGGATCGTAGAAAACCACTTAACATGACATTGCCAATTTAAAAAACTTTAAAAAATGTATTTAAATGTATTGCTTTGTGGTACTCTTTATTGTGAGTGACACATCTGGCTTATAGACGGACACGGAGGCTTTTGTAGATAGATGTTACATGTGTATTAATGTGTCTTTGTTCATAAACAGGCAGCGCTTTTTTTTCAGCATGATGATTTTGTTCTGACATACATGACACGTTTTAATATGTTGCACATTTTTGCATTGTTTTTAATGGATACAAAGACTGGAATTTGCTTTTATGTCTTTTTGTTTTTGTTTTGTCTCAGCTGGTTTTCTGATGAGTAGTCAAAACTATGTGTGTATGAGAGAGTGTGGCTACAAGTGTTTTTTAAGGATACCAGACTTTTGTTTTGGTTTTGAGTGTGTAACAGAAGTGCCAATTTTATGGATTAGTCTGGAAACCCGGATTATTGGAATTATCTTGATATTGCACTATTTATTTTGGTCAAATTGATGCAAGCTGTTTTAGACAATATAAGTGGGTGGTTGGTGGGTGCTCTGGTGTGGTTTGCTCCTTCTTTCCTATCAAACATCTATCGTCCTTATCTCCCCTTCTTCTTTTTTATGTTTGTTACTCTCTTGAAACAGCTCTAATCTTCTGGTGCTCATATGACCTTATGCAGTTGTGAGCGCCGTGAAACTTCTACTAAAACTAAACTAAAGACAATATAATCCATAAATTTTCAGTGGGTTTAACTGTATATATATATCAATGATTTGGGAACAGTCTGGTGTGATTTTCTTGTTTATTTCTTTTTGAGCTTTACTGTTGTTGCAATTGGAGTGTGGCTATCACTGTGTCAACATGCTGTACACAACGAAGGGTTTCCCCTCTCTCCCTTCCTGTCATTTCCTCACATGCGGATGGTTGGAGGGTACTACTGTAGGTCCTACTTCTTTACTTTCCCTCTGTTGTTTCTGTCTGTCTGTCTGACTTTTTCCCAGCACTGAATGACCGTTATTGTGCTGATGTACTTCTCTTTACTCAAACAGACAAAGAAATTTTCTTACAGTTGTTGGCATTTTTTAAGTGCACCGTCAGCTCAGCTGGTGTCATGGTGGGCTTATAGTGCAGATGGCCCTGTCCAGAATCACCAATGGGATGTTTTTGAACTGGATTAAAAGATTTTTCAGTTTTTCGAAACTCTCCGCTTATTTTGACAGGACCCAATTGGAGATGGATATTGAATTCAGGGTCCCCTCCTCTAGTACTACCTCAGAGTATAGAAAGGGACGTTAAATGCAAGCTAAATCAACTTAATATGTTGATATATTATTATCCTGATGCCCACGTTGTCAACTGAATACTTTACATGACTCATTAGCTGCAAAATTTCTTGAAAAATTTTGGCTTGAAAGCAGAATTTGTTTATTTCTTACCTTTCCCTCTGTAGTTTCTGGCCTTCTGTCTTGCTTTTTCTGAGCACTTAATGACCATTATTGTATTAATGTACTTCTTTACACAAAAACAAATAAACAGATATTGAGTATGGTCCTTTCTATTTTTAAAGTTTCGATTTGAGTTTTACGACACACTGATCACAAATAGGTTGTATAAGTGCTGTTACTAGAAAGTAACTTAGGCCTACCAAAAAATATAGTACAGATAACGAGGATAGATGCTTGATAGGATAGGAAGCAGCAAATCACACCAGAACACCCGATAACCACTCACAGTACAATGTGATATAGGCTCTGGGGTCTTTGTAAAGTAAACAAAGAAGTTTTGTTGGTCTATACCTTTACTTTCTCTTCTACTTCTCTAGAGACCTCAGCTAATGTTCTTGACATCATGTTGTAGTCAGAGATGGTAACTGCTATACAACTCTCCCCCCCCTCCCCTCCCTCCCCCACTCCCTTGATCGCACATCCTCTTTCAACAATATTCTTTGGCTACCAAATTCTTTTATTATTTTTCTGAGCACATTGTTTTGTAAATCAAAGAAAGGAGTCTCGATTCTATATTTTTGTTACTTGTAACACTGCCATATTTTTCAAAAGTTTATTCCATAAATATTATGTGGGTTTTCTGTGATTTTGAGTGACAACAATCGTCAATAGTTGTGATGAGTCATACGGCCTGTGTGGTGGATATTTGCTGTCATCAGCACATAAGAACCATAACATATACAGGTATTGAGCAAGTTTTTATGTTGTTTCTGCTTATGCTTAGATAAATTTGTTTGATATTTAAATAATTTCTTATAAAAATCACTTTGTAGTGGATTTTTGGACAGCGCCACTGGTAGGTCCTATTTCTTTTCCCCCTCTTGTTTCGGTCAGTCTAACTTATTTTTCCTCTGCACTAAATTACTGTTATTTGGATTGTGCTTCTCTTTAGTAAAAAAAAAAGGCGAATTGTGCATAAGTGAGCAGAGGTTGAAAACTGCCTCATTTGGAACAATACGACAGCTTTCTTTGTTCACCCTCACTAGTCATCACTGCTTACACGCCATAAATAACGTCAAACTAGTTTAAGATGGCCACCCATTGTTGGGACGAAAATTGGTTGTCTTAGACAGGTGGACGTCTGTCACAGTGTCATTGTAATGTCAAAAAAATGCAAGGGGGGGGGGGGGGGTGGAAATGGGAAATATGGCTGTTTGTATAGGTGATTGTTTTTAAAATTTTTCAATAGTTTATTGTTCTTGATAGACACAGGCCTCTTCACTCTTCATGCACTTTTTTCTCTCTTAGAAAAGGTGTGATTTTTTCCCCCTTTTATTAATGGATTTATTTTTGTATTCCTGTCTTTAAAAAACTTTTGAGATAGAACTAACCTTGTTCACTTCATATATAATTAAAGTTTGCTCCTTATTTTCACTTTTATATTTTCAGCAAACAGTTACTCAGAAAAAGATCTGCATTTATTCTGGCAGCAAAAGTTAAAGCTGTTTGCTTGAACCTGTTTCAATTTAAAAATCTTAACAGGTTGTTTGTTTTTACTTCGTTATGATTAGAATATAATCTGCATGTATTACTTGTGTCTTTGAGTAGATTATTTGCAAACTCAGTATTTTGTAAAATTATACAATTTATGTTTTGCTTACTTCAAGTGATGTATGGAGGGATTTGCATGGGTAAATGGGTAAAACAAATGGTTATTTAGGCCTACTTTACAGTACATTAAAAAAACCCACCACGGGGGAAAGCACCAAAAAGGAGTGTTGTTGAATAAATCAGATTCCCTAAATAAATGTTTCTGTGTTCTTTCAGGTCTTGATGTTCTTGTCCACATTTGTTTGTCCGTGGTAAGGCAGGAGTTAAATAGGATACTACAGTTAAAGTTAAAGGGACAACTTTGTCATAATAACACCGTTGAAATTGTTCAAGTGGGTGGTTGGCGGGTGTTCTGGTGTGGTTTGCTACTTCTTTCCTGTCAATCAAACATCTATCGTCCTGATCTCTCCTCCTTCTTTTTTCTGGTTGTTTTTCTCTTGTAACACCTCTAATCTTCGGCACTTATATGACCTTATTGTGTTGCAAGTGCCGTAAAACATTTACCTAAACAAATTGTCCAAGACGGCTCCCCAATGTCAAGTAGAAAAGTGGTTGTCTTAGACAGGTGGACGTCTTGGACAGTGCCATTTCATTGTTTAATTTTTTTTAAGCAGGTGGGTGTTTGTACAGGTGACTGTCTTATAAATACTAGACAGATGGGTATTAGAGTAAGTTCAACAATATTTTAGTCTATCTTCAAGTTCAGCAATCTCTCTACTACACCTCTGGCTAGTATAGTTGGTCCTAGTTTTTGTCTTCAGGTAAATAATACAAGAGGGCCACTCTCCACCCCCCCCCTCCCCCCCCCCCCCCTTCCTTTTTTTTCGGACTTCTTTCTTTTTTTTCTCTCTCTCGCTTTCTTTTCATTTCTCTCCATCCTTGGCCCAGTCTCCCCTCCTCCCCCCCCCCCCCCCCCACCCTTTCCTTTTAATCCCTCTCTATTTTATCCCCCCCCCCCTTTTTTTTTTCTCTATGAGAGATGAAAATTAGCTGAACATTAAATTACATTCATTATTTATAATACGCTGTTTGGTGACTGACGAATGTTGATCAAGGGACTTAATTACTTAATATTAACGTGCAACGTATGGTCTTTGAAAGCGGTGGTTCCCCTGAGCTGGTATTGGGCCAAGGGAACGAGATGTCAATGCAAAGCCACCAAAAGTATTCTTGTAAAATCCTCTGCAATAGAGAACAAAATTATTTATACGCATCATAAATATGTGAAGACTATTCAAATTCACCAGTTTTTTAAATAATGGTTTCTTCTCAGAAATATCTTTACCATGGGAAATCGCAACATAATTTTTTTTTCAATGACGGATCCCATAGCAGCTTATCGCTATGTAGCAACCAAAATGGCCGCCAACCAAAACTTCGAAGGCTGCACAATGCTCAGTGTTGTTGAAGTTCAGCAAATTGTTAAACTGCCTGTAAGTATGTAAAAAATAAATAAAAAGAATCCAGACTGTTAGGAAAATAGGGTCCACATAATTTAAATCCTCAGCATTTCGTGTGCTTCTTTATTTATTAAAAGAAATAGCCCCGTATAAGCCCTTTAACTTTAACTTAAATTAATCATGCTTTAAAAATATTTTAGCCCATTATTTACAAAAGTAAAAGGTTATTTATCTCTATAAAAACAAATAGTTTGAATAGAATACTTCAATACTTCTTTGTTTTGTCAATTAATGTAGGCCTACCCGTGAAAGAGTGAAAAGACGGAAGGACTTCCGTAACGAGCGACCACCCCATCAAACACAATATAATGAAGAGGCCTAACCCTAACCCTAACCCTAACCCAAACCCTAACCCAAACCCTAACCCTACCCCTACTCCCCTATCCCTAGATCTACCCCTACCCCTCAATTCTGCTCTGTCTCATAGTGGTCGCTCATTACGGAAGTCCTCCCGAAAAGACAACCAAAGCTACTGCTGATTAAAAGTATTCATTTTCTTTGTACTGTGGATCTAGAATCTATAGTCTAGGCCATCAATCAAAATCAAAATGTGCTGCAGATTGTAGGTCAAAGGATGTGATGGGGAGTGAATTTGCGGGGCAAATAATCTGTATTTTAAGGCAGAGGTACCCTGCTGAGATTGACTTAGGATGTTTAAAAGACTTTTCAGTAGCCTACATTATAAAGCCATAATATAGGCCTACCTGGTATCATAATTTTTATCAAATTGCTTCAAAATGTTATAAATTCAAATAAATGGGCCTACTGTGTATGATGGGTACTACACTTACTTTTTTTTTTCTCTAAAATTTCACACATGCACATGCACACACACACACACACACACACACACACACATACACACTCACACACACACACACACACACTTACAGATACAACTTAAGTTATATACCCACATCCATAAATATATACCCACCGACACAAATGCACAGATGGAGAGAAAGAGATATATTTATATGTAAAGCCAATTTATCTTCAACATCTTCAGCCTATTCCTGCAAAAGAACTGGTTGCAGAGAAACTTGGCATCCCTCCGTACAATGATGTCAAAGACCCCCAGAAGGCTCCCTTCATCAACTTCATCTACGACAATATCATCTTTGCCGTTGAGAAAGGCTTTCCATGGGACCATGTCAGTCTTGTAGTGAAATTTGCTCACGAATTCCTCAAAAGCATATTAGGTAAGCTACTTTTGAGAACTGAAAAAGTGTCTCATTTGTATTTATTGAGAGAGAGAGAGAGAGAGAGAGAGAGAGAGAGAGAGAGAGAGAGAGAGAGAAAGAGAGACACACAGAGAGAGAGAGAGAGGGAGAAGAAAATAAGAAGTAGGCAGACAGAAATAATAAAAAACGAAAACACTAACTCTCTTTTTGGAAAACTGTTTACTGCTTATTAATGGGAGAAAACTACCAGGTGTTTAGGGAATGAAAGAAGGCTGGCAGTGGTTCTAGCAAAGTACTGTGTGTCACAAAATTGTGGGCAGACATGTAGACAAGCACATGCTTTCAGATGAGCCATCAGTTAACAGTTTTGAAATAAAGCATACTAAAACTTATACATTTTAAGTGAACCATCATTTAGTCATTGACCCTGGAATTGATTTCAACAGTTCCATGGAATTGATTTTCTTTTTTACAACTCAAATCAACTGATGCTCTAATACTTTCACAACATACGCTTCGACTCAAGACGAAGAACTAACTTAAAAACAAAACAAAGGAAGCTTCCCTGAGAAAAGCTTTGTACAAAGTTTAATTTATTGTAGTCTGTTTAAATGGGAAACTCGCGTATATCTGTGTGCATCACAGTTGGAAGCAGTTGCTTGTCATTTTGAGAAGAAGCTTTTGCCGCTAGAAGCAGTCGCTAGGGTTTAATGAGTTATATTGAATTGTGAGGCATCATGGTGAAATCAGGTACTAGTCAAAATAATTCAATCATGGAAATCGACATTCTTCTGCTGGTTTAAAGAAAAAAAAAATGTTGTTTTTTGGCTCAACGTCTTTTAGTTCCATTGAAAAACACATGTCTGTGTGGTTTTACAAAGAACATTGATTAAATTCACTAAAACTGTCAGTTTTCAGTTTTCAAGGACTCTCAAGCTATGGAAGTCCGAAAACTTTGGTGGCTATTTTATGGCTAACTTTACATCTGAAATCAGGTGACCCCCACCTGCTTCAATAGCAAATATCCCAACTTCTATTCAAGAAAGAAAGATATTTAAAAAATCAAAAGCAAGGTAAATGAATAAGCTTTAAGATGATATGAATAATTTCATATGCCCAAAAATTGACCAGTACCTGATTTCATCGCATTGTGATACATGTAATATCATCCTTATTTTGACAGTTGAGAACCACAAGCTTCCAGATGTGATCAAAGACTTCCAACGGAAAGCAGACATTCTGACCGCCCTGTGCGACCGCCACAAGAAGCAGTACACAGACTTTGTCTACGACACTGTGCTGTGCCACTACAACCTCTACAAATATGTCTTCTCACACCTCAGGGAGATCGTCAAACCAAAGGTAAGGTGCTGTGGTTTTTTGCTACCTTTATTTTTTTTTCTTCTTCTTGATCACATCACATTTGAAGTCCAGTATCTATCATGTATTGGACCGTCCTGCTCAATTTCTCTGTTTTCCCACATAGCTTCTCCTGTGGTGTTAATGGGACTAGCCACGTTTCTTGTCTCAGGGCTGTGTGTGTCATGCACTGCTAAAGGATGTGTTCCACAGTTTGGTTTTCTTCTCTATGTGCTACCATTGTTTTTATGTTTATTTATTCTTTTTTTTCCGGTCAATCTCTTGGATGTGTCCATACAAATAAAAAAATTAAAAGGACTTAAAAAGGGACCACTGACTTCAAATGTATCAAAAGGAATCAACCCATACATTATTATTTGTTTATATTATTCTTGTTTTTTTCCTTTTGACAGTGATTTTGACTACTTGTTTAGTGGAAGCATTTTTCTCTGCTGTAGTGATTAGAGATATAATATGTCTGAAATTTAAAGCTTCAAGTTTAGGACTTATTTCAGAAAGCTTGTTTTAAAATAATAGTAATTGTAAATAGTCATGTTTGTTTGCTGTTATAAGTCCTGGAATGTACGAAAGTTTCCAAAATGGGAAATGAATACCCATTAAAATAATATTACAGGGAAATAAGTCAAAATCAGCACAACTGTTTTTTGGCTTTTCAAAATTTTACAACTTCAATCTCAGTGTTGGAACACTTGCAACATCTGTTAGACACGTTGTATATCTCAAAACAGGTGCACTTGAGGCAATGATTCAGCTTTTCATACCATGGGAAAAAAGTTAATGCAGAGTTTATATTTAGTAAGAAAGAATTATTTGATAAATTATTTTCTTTGCAATATAGATGTGCTGCAGTCTGTAATGTACAAATTTGCACAACTTAAAGTGAGATGGAGAAACAGGTCATTCTTTTAGCAAGGTCTCAACCTAGTCTTACTTGATGAGAAATTGAAGAACAAAACTAGGCTGAGTCAATAACAGTAGAGGCAGGTAAAGAAAAGCAAAGTTCACTCTTTTTGTCACAGGTGGAAAAAGAGGTTCTCGTCCCCCCGATTCCTCCGCCATTGTCTCAAGGTCAGAGTGTCGAGGTCTGGGAGTACCAGCAGAAGGTCAAGGACGTGGAGGTGAGAGAGACCGAGGCGAAAGAGAAGCTGAAACAAACTGAGGAGAGGTAAGAGCTGCCTTGTCTTGATATATTTCTGATTAAAATACGGAATGAGATAAATATTGCCGTTGTGATATTTATGGTAACCATATTCATGTCAGGTTTAGTTGTGAATGCTTGCAAGTAGGTCCTACTTCATTTCTTTCCATCTGTTCTTTCTGTCTGTCTGTTCTGTCTGTTTGTCTGTCTCGTCTTTACTCTGCATTAAATGAGGGTTATTGTGTCAATGTGCTTCTCTTTACTCAAACAGAAAGAAATATTTTTAGCGAGAGCAGCGGGTCCTGTATAGTCTGACTTTTATAAAGTAGGCCTACTAACTTTGACTGACGTAACTCCACACTGATAGGTGAAAGGCTTGGAGACTTTTGAGTTACTTCTACTTTGTAAGTTCTATAGTTATTTTGTTCTCTCTCTCTCTCTCTCTCTCTCTCTCTCTCTCTCTCTCTCTCCCTCTCTCTCTCTCTCTCTCTGTCTCTCTCTCTCTCTTTGATTCTTGCCAGCTTGAGAGCCTTCTTATTACAGATATATTACTTAGGATAAATTAATTCCTCTTTGAGAAAATTGTATTGTTCATTTTAGTTATAATTCATCAGAGGAAATTTTTCCACTCTGCTACCATATATTAAATTGTTCACGTTAATCTTCTAATGAGAATATGGTACTTATGTGAGGCATCCATAACTCAGTATTATTACTTATCCTAATGTAATACTGAGCTTCTAGAGAGATTTAAAAAGCTGAGAACATTTCCATTTTTAATCAATGTTAGTACATATTGTTTCTAAAATCCATGTTGCTTCTCGGATTTCTTTCAGTTATTTTTCTCTTTCCTTGCATCACTCAGCCTTCACTGTATCAATATGTTTCCTCTTCTTCTAATGAATGAATGAATGAATAAATGAATGAATGAATGAATGAATAAATGAAAATGAGTGAATGAATGAATGGAGGAAGGAATGAATGAATGAGTGAGTGAGGGAGTGGGTGAGTGAGTGGGTGAATGAATGAATGAATGAATGAATGAATGAATGAATGAATGAATGAATGAATGAATGAATGAATGAATGAATGAATGAATGAATGAATGAATCCAAGCTCTGATTCTGTGCATGATTTCTTTCAGTCAAAAGGAAAAGCTGACACCACACAAGAACATTGAGGATGTGAAGGATGTCCCTGTTCCATATAGCAAAATGGTGAGTTACGTAGCTCTTGTTGAGTGAATAGAGATGATTTGCTGCTGTCCTTTTCTCTGCCTCTTCCAATATATATGGAATTTTTTTGTTCTTTCTGTTAAACTTACTTCAGCTCACATGTTGTAATCAGTGGGGTTCCAGGTCGGTTAAGAACTGTGAGATATTTGTTGAACTTGTTTATAAATTTTGTCCGCTTTGATGGTCTGTTAGTCAGTTTGCCCCAAACTTAAGTCGCTTCATAATATTTTCAAAATCATTCTCAAGTGACCTTGGGTAAGAGTTGGATAGACATAAGAGTGTGTTCTCAAGCAAGTACCATTGATCATAGATGTTTCTTTTAGAAATAAAGCCTTGCATTATGGCCATTCATGACTGTGTTGACAAATATTCCCATTTTGTTTTCTTTCCATTCCATGAATGATGTGATTCATATTTTTAAAATTAAATAAAGGTCTATGTCATTGCATCAGACTTCAATTGTAAGAGAAATTTCTTTAGAAAGTAAACAACTGTTTTAGAAAAAATTTGGGATGCAAAAAATGTGTTTACTGTGTGCATGTTAGCGGTGTACATGTTTCACAATTATGCGTGTTCGTTCTCTGTGTGTTTTGCTATATGCGTGTTCACTATGCGCTTGTTTCGCCATGTGCGTTTTCGCTCTGTGCATGTTCCACTATGTGTGTGTTTTTCTATGTGCATGTTAGCAGTGTACATGTTTCACTGTAAGCATGTTTGCTGTGTGTGTGTTTCACTGTGTGCGTGTTGGCTATGTGCTTGTTTTGCCATGTGCATATTTGCTATGTGTGTGTGTTTCCCTATGTGCATGTTTGCTATGTGTGTGTTTTGCTATGTGTGTGTTTCACTCTGTGCGTGTTTCGCTATGCACTTGTTTTGCTATGTGCATGTTAGCAGTGTACATGTTTCACTATATGCGTGTTCGCTGTGTGTGTGTTTCACTGTATGCGTGTTGGCTATGTGATTGTTTCGCTATGTGCATGTTTGCTATGTGTGTGTTTTGTTATGTGCGTGTTGGATATGCGCTAGTTTGGCTGTGTGGATTTTACTATGTGTGTGTTTGCTATGTGTGTGTTTCGCTATGTGCGTGTTTGCTATGTGCATGTTTCGCTATGTGCGTGTTTGCTATGTGTGTGCGTGTGTGCTTGACTGTAGCTTGAGAAAGTGAAAATAAAATTCTGAACATTCTGATTTTCCTTTTCTTTGTGTGCAGAGCCTGGAAGAACTGGTGAAGGATGTGCTGAAGGGTTACGTGGAAACAAAGCAGATGGAGCTGAAGGGAAAGGCCGACGAGATGGTGCAGGATTTGGCCTTCAAGCTGGATAAGACAGCTCTAGCCCGGCCTGCTGTTATGGGTGAGTCTCAGTTGGGATAGGGTTGTTGTTTGTGTTAGTAAAGTTTTACGGCGCTCGCAACTGCATAAGGTTATACGAGTGCTAAGGGGTGGATGTTAACAGAGAAGTCCAAATAGGGAATCGGGCTTACTCTGCTTACCTCTCTAGCCTCAACAGCACAAAGTCTGCTTTGATTTCAAAGTACCCGGGAAATAGCAGTTCACAGGAGAGTGACAAACATACAAAAGAAGTAGAGGAAAAATGACGATAGTAATGATAAGTAAAGAAAAAGCAGCAGTTCCCCCTATGTTGTTCCGGCACAGTATGAGCATGACATTGATAAATCAGCCCATTTACAAAACTGCTGTGCATAAGAACATGTTAATATCACCCCTTTCGGAATGGCCTAAAGACAACTTCAGTTAGTAGCACTGCCCTGGTGGAGGGGGTGGGGGAAGGGGATTAGGGTTTAGCTTTGGGTCACTCACAGAATCATAACATTTTTAAATTTTAGATAAAAGGTACATGTTTTTATGCCTCATTGACACAATTTAAATCATTTAGGATACGGAAAAGGACTGCAGGGTCTGGGTTGATAGGGATACAGCATCTTAATCCCCGCAGAAAGACTGAAAAACTCTATAAAAGTTTCTCCCCACTGGGGAATCAGAATTAAACTTTGATCACCTGCCCATATAAGCAAAGGGCCCTTAACCACTATACCACGCATGCCAATTCTTAAGGTCACTCACAGAATAAAGATAACAATAATGATGATAATGGTTATAATACACAAAAAAATTATGGAGATAATTTCTATTGCATGCACTCCCATACATTACTGCTCTAGGCACTTTACAATACATTTGAAACCTAAAAATATATTAAATAAATGTGTTTCGCAGATGGTATGTGTACACCCCAGCCAACGTGAGTTTCGTTGTATTAGTGCTGCTTGTAGTATGGTTTTTCAAGAAAGAATTTTGCTGTGAAGAAAGAGAAATACTGGTAGTGTTAGAGTAGTGAAGAGCATTCATGGGAAGTTATTTTAAAGATCCTGTTTGAGAGTAAAAGCTCATTATGAATATGTGTTTATGTTTGTCTTAATGGTATGTGTGCATATGGGGGGGGGGGGGGGGTGCGTTTGTGTGTGTGGTACATGGCTTGCAAATATATGGGCTCGCAACCGAAAGGTAATGGGTTCGAACCATGTCAAGGGCCTGACGTTGTGTCCTTGGGAAAGGCACTTCACGCAAATTTTCCTCACTTTACCCAGTTAGGAATGGGAACCTGGCCATAGATGGCGAAAGATCTTGTCACTTTGTCAGTGTTTGAGCGCTCAATTGGCTGCTTGCTCTGTATGCTTCCTGAGAAGCTGAAAATGTTTCTGAGTCTTATAGGGTTTACAGGGGTGATTATTATAGAATGTAAAGTGCGAAGAGCTTGCCTTGAGCGGGGATATGCATTATACAAATGCTATTTATTATTATCATAACTATTGTTATTATTCTTATCATTATTGTTCTCTCTCTCTCTCTCACTCTCTCTCTCTCTCTCTCTCTCTCTCTCTCTCTCTCTCTCTCTCTCTCTCTCTCTCTCACTTTCACTCTCTTTGCCAGGATCTCCTCCAAGATTCAAACCCAAAAGCCCTGTGCCAAGCAAGGCCAGCTCTAACAACAACTCCCTCAAGGCGGACAAGGACAAATCTTCAGCCAAATCCTCGCGGTCCAAGTCGGGCCGGGCCAGTGCTGCTTCGTCAAAGTCAAAGAGATGAAAGATATGCCAGGATAATAATACCGGGTAATGATAAAACGAATAAATGAAAATAAAATAAATTACACCTAAGTGATCCTTGTGGGTGACAAAGGAAATAAAATTCAGAATACTACACCAGGACAGAACAATAGTTGTACAAATTTATGCTGTTGCTGGTTGGGACTGTGCAAAGCCCTGTTATATTGTTTAAAAAGAAATTACTTTTTTTAGCTAAAGTTATTGTGTCTTGCTCAAAGACACGCCCCATTGACCACCTACCTAAACCCTGTGTCACCAACATTTTCTTGACATTATCTTTGAGTCTGAACTCACTAAGCAATTGGCCACTGGAGCCCCCGTATGTTTGAGAAATCTGCAACTACAACTTCACTAGACCAAAGGTGTGACTTAATCACTCTTATTCCCCTCCTCCGTTTTTGCTTAGCAACCCCCCCCCTCCCCTCTTCAAAGTTTGATTTCCTCCCTTCCCTCTCTCTCCCCTTCTCTCTCTCCTTCTCTCTCCCCTTCTCTCTCCCCTTCTCTCTCCCCTTCTCTCTCCCCTTCTCTCTCCCCTACACTCTCTTCCCTTCTCTACTTTGCTCCCTCTCTTCCTGTCTTGATGTCTCACCAATCTCCTCCCCATCCCTCATCCATGGCTGCTTTGTCAGTCAGACATAAGTGAGCTAAGACGAAATGCTTCTTACCTGCGGTGCTTGTCTAAATAAATAGGACAGAGGATTTAAATCTGAGACTGCCCCTTTCTTAATTTCTCTTGAAAGTGTCTATCGCTGAACCCAAAAGTGTCTTTGGCAGGGACAGAGACATCAGTCGAACAGACGTTTGCTTGCTCAAGCTTTAGCGTCTTTGTGACAGACTTAGACTTAATCTCTTTGGCTTTGCAGGGGAAAAAAAGAATAAGAAGCTGAAGATCTTTTTAGCTAAATGAATCATTATTATTGGTTTTAATTTTTATAATCAAAACCAGTAATACTGTTTCATTTTGTTCAAGGTTTCAAACAACAACTTGTGTGAATTGTGTTATATATCCAGCCCTGTGGAAATAAAAAAGAGGATAAATGACATATACAATTTTACAATATTGTTTTCAGTATCAAAATATAGTATTAAATGTGATTAAAAATACATTATGTACTATAACGTTATAGCACGGTATGTTTATAGTATGATGTAATGTGCGAATTCCCACTGTTTTTATTCCTTGGGTATTCGAAGACATTGTACATAATGATGTATTTCAATAAAGGAAAATGAATTTGCTGTTGAAATGACTCTTCTTTTTGTTTTTATTGGTTTATCTGTTTTGAACGGTCGGTCGACTGGGTTTGTTGAAAGTTGCAGTGTTATTACACTGTATTCTATTCTGTATTCTGTGTTTTTCTGTCACCAAAAACTTAAAAAAGAAAAGATGAAGATAGGAAATTGAATACCAAATTTGACTATATGTGAGTGTATATATTTTTTATCTTGTGTGCATGTGTATAGATCATGTGCGTATGTGTGTGTGTGTGTGTGTGT